ACTACCAGGAGTGTATTTGAATTCAAAGTAATGACCTGGAAGTACAAAACTCCATATTCTGTAATCCCACAAGGCGTGCAGTTCTCCCTCTTCAGTTACTGCTGAATATCTCTACAGCTTCCTCTGCTGCTCCTGATTTAATATAAAGCTATCAACAAACCTCCTTAGTGAACGGGGTCATGGCAAGATTTACAGTGCTTTTTCGCCGGCCTGCAGGTGAATTTATTTTACCCAATATATCCATTTAGATCCATTTTCCTCAGAACATTATTCTTCAAAGACAACTTAGCGAGTTCTTCAGCATCAGATAAAAGTCAAGCTAAGTGGTGCAAAGATGACAAGGTGTCCTGCATGACCTTAATCAGAAGTTTAAGTGCAGGATAAAAGTGAGAACTGAACCGAGAGCCACTACCCCAACTGTCTTTATTTAAACGTCAAGGAGACAAATGTTGCTGCTCAGACACGTTTTTTTTGTTTTTTTTCTCTCCAGACTGACACCCACAGCTTGTGGATTGCATTCAGCAGGCAAGGATTGGAGCAATATTCTGAGAAAAGCAGTGTCACTCACCAAACCTCAACGCACTATGTGAGAAAGCTCAAGGCGTCCTGTAATGACAATGGACAGCGCATTAATGTGAAATACTGGAATTTTTATCCATAGGTTTAGCACACAGTGTGTTACTGATCCAGCCTAAGCAAGCCCTCGCTGCCCTTCCCCTTCTGTTCCATCCATTCCATCCCCCACAAGGCTTTTTCTGTCACGTGTGGTGTCACACACACAGGCATGGCTCTGGCAGAGCCAGAATTCCAAATTATTACAAAGCTGCCAGTAGAACTGAAAGCAGCTTGCCTGTGAGAGCTGGAGAGGCACCTCTGACAAGGGGGGATGGTTTCCCACTGCCAGAGGAGGGTGAGATGGGATTTTGGGAAGGGATTGATCCCTGGGAGGGTGCTGAGGCCCTGGCACAGGGTGCCCAGAGAAGCTGTGACCATCCCTGGATCCCTGGCAATGTCCCAGGCCAGGCTGGATGGGATTTGGAGCAGCCTGGGACAGTGGAGGTGTCTCTGCCCATGGCAGGGGTGGGATGAGTCCCTAAAGGTCCCTTCCAACCCATACCATCCTGTGATTTAACTCTAATCAAACCTCTGCATACTAGCTGTGAGTTAATAAAATAACCTGGTTTTAGAAAGCTTTTCTTCTGAATATTTGGCCTCTGGATTTACAGTTGCAAACAAAACATCAAATAATTGTTTTCTTTTTTTCCAGGCACACTCAGCACACAACAGAACTGATTAGCTTTCAATATTATGGAATCAAATTGCTTGAAGTTCCAACTTCTTACTTTGTAAATAAAAACAAGTTGCTGAAAAATGACATAAATTTTGGCACCATATCAACCCAATTAAACCTCCATTTCAGAAGAATTCAAAAAACAGCCAAAATAATCAAACTGAGCAATACTAAAACTGGACTTATTACTCTGTGAGGTGCTGAGAATGACATTAAAATGGTTTTAAAAGACTTAAATAGCTAAACAAGATTAAAAAGCAAAGCTAAAGTGATAAAAGAAACCACAGAAACACAGAACTTGAAGAGTGCCCTGACTCTGTGGCTGTGTGGAGGCACTGAGGGGAGGAAATCCCTGAGCAGAACTTTCAAGAGTGGCAGAAGGTAAAGAGAACTTCTTCAGCCAGCCTCATACATCCCTGTACTGCAGAGGGATGCAGGACCCTTCAGCTCTGGACTGAATAACCTCAAACTTCCCCTGACTTCCAAACTTCTGGAGGGCTTTAAACGTGGATGGAGAAGAGTCCTGCTGGAAGGGAACAGCCAAACACAAACTTTATGCATATTCATAAAGTGAATGTGACTTTTGGAGCTGCTGGTAGTTGAAACAAAGATAAAAGAATTGTGAGAGTAAGGAAGAAATTTCACATGGATGAAATAAAACTGACTGATGTGACAGCTTTGATCATTGTTCAGAAGCTGGAAAACAAAACTCCCCGTGAACCTCCGCAGAGACACGGGCGTGCCAAGACCTGGCACACAGAAGTTTGCTTGGGGAACACAAGTAGGCAGGAAAGAAGTAAAAGAGGACATGGAGGCAGCTGGAACTCTGGGGGCCAAAAAAAAAACAAAACAAAACAAAAAACACACCCCAAAAATCAGGCTACCAAAATAAACTCCTATTTGGGAGAAAACCAGAGGGTTTCATCAAAAAAAACTTATCTGAATGTTCTTAATCTATCAGCAGAAGCAATGCAAACTGAGACAGAGTTCTGTCCTGAGTGTAAAACTGTATTCAGGTGAAAGATTGTCTATAAGACATTAATATAAAACCTAAATCATTAAATCCTTTTCATTTTTAACAACAGATAATGAGAGAAAGCATTTAACCCTTTTCACTTTGGTAACATAAGAAGCAGAAATGTACTGCAACAGGCTTTTACATCTGTCTGTGACATAACCTTTTATAAATATATATATGTACTTACATGTATGCATGCATATGTTTGTAGGTAATTTGTAAATTAATCAAGATTTATCATTCTGTAGAACTGGAAAACTATCCTGACAGCAGATACCCAAGAGAAATCAAACTGAACAATGCAGAGACTAGATGAGATACCTGCTCTGTTTTCAGCAATTCCTATTTGTTAGCTTATTTAACAACGATTGAACATTTTGGGAACAGCTGCCTTGGTAAAGACTCAACATCCCCAGCCCTTCACCAATGTGCAAGGGAAACTGTGTTCATCCCTCCAGATCCCTCCCCAGCGATATGTCAGAAATTATATTCCTGATGTTCACGAATTTATATAAAACACAGTGGGAAAAGGAAACAGAAACACTTAGAAAAGCTACTCAGATAAAAGGGGGGCCTTTTTCAAGTTGATAAATGCATTCAGTAGCACATTTCTTTATGTAATCTCTCTTCAGACAGTAGAAGGAAGCCTCTGCAGAATTTATTTTTTTTTAAATAGATGAAACATGAATCACTTTATCTTTAAATTACATAACATGAATGCAAATTAATCAGTACCCTTAGACAACTGCAAAGTTGATAAAGTGGCTCTTAAAGTCAGAAGATACCAGAGCTGTTGAGCAGTTCTTTGTTAATCCAACACAAAGACACTGGAATTTATGTTTTGTTTCTGTCATCCAGCAGCTCTTTCCCATCCCAGCTTTTGCTGGGCTTTCCTTCCACAGAGTAACGAGCCCAGGACTTTTTCACCACTAAGGGAGGCCCTTCATTTTTCAGAAAAATGATTGTCCCTCATCTGACATAAAGCACCACTTAAGGATGAAGCAATGGCATGAAAGGTGCAATAGAAGCAAAAAGCAAGGGGAGAAAAAATAAATTCCAGTGCAGTCGCTGTTTCTTTAGGGAGCAAACGATTGAACTCTGTTTCCTGACAGAGCAGGAAACCGTGCAGGTGGTGAGGGAAAACAAGTGCAGCCTGCTGAGAGAGGCCCAGAAGCTGGGTGGCAGTGGCAATGTCGACAAGAGACCAATTTTAAGCTGGAGGGAATTAAGAGACTCTCTAGCAACCCCCTCCTCCTTTTCCCACTTCTCTGCTTCTTCCCAGAAGGAAAATGTGTCTGAGCCTTTCATAAAAACATCAGAGAATTTGGGTGGGGGTTTTTGTGTGAGTACAGAATCTGGTTTTGGCTGATGGGATCTTTGATGAGGGTTGAAATGCTGACATGAGAATAAAAGGTATACATAGCACTGTGTTCTAAAATAACTGAAGCTGGAAAGCAAAAAGGGAGAGGGGAGAAGAAAAAAAAGTCAAAAAGAAAAGGGAAGAAAACAGAGGCAAAAAAACCTAAACCCAGAGGGCTGAGTGAGGAGAAGGAAGAAAAAGTAGAAATGGGTAACATACTACAAAAAGCAAGAGAGGTAACAGATAGACAGGAGTGTGTCCACACAAATGACACCAATTCCTTGGAATCAGTACAGAGCTTCAAGTTGCACACAATTGTCTGTTAGAAGAAAGGATGAACATCTACATTTATTTCAGTTCTTCCAAGTAAAAGATCAGATGGGTTAAAGAGAGAAAGCCTGTGTACACAAAAGGTGGAAGAAAAGCAATGGCTGGAAAAGAGAAATGTTTGAATTATTGAAAACCAGCTCATTATTTTCTCTTGAATACATGATCTCAGTAATGGTTACCTGACATTAATGACCACCTCTGCTAGGTCTTTGCTAGGCAAAGAGGTGCCTGGCAATCCACTCAAACATTCCAGTTAGTTTCCTTCAACCTCTTCTAATGCCTTATCCATGCAGGAACTGTTGGCTCTACATTTTCTGGAGTGGGAGCCACTGGGAGAGATCAAATAATTTCTGTAGGCCAGGAACCACATTGTTCCAGAATTCAGTGCTGACCCTGTCCTGCTCAGCAGTGCAAGAACACCCCTGGTGTAATCACCAGGACCTGCAAGTCCTTTGTTACAGACAGCCATGACTACCAGGAAAGGTATATATTGAATTAAAGCATCCTTAGTGCCTGTTTGTGTCACCTTGAAAAGCACAGGTTGTCTTTACCCCCAAACACCTTCATCCTACCAGTCCACCACCACCATGCCAATTCCTGCTGCTGGAGATGGGGTGGTTAAAATCTTTAACCATAAATCCATTCTAAAGACCTAAAATAAGAAGAAAAACCAACAGAAAGCCGATGGAATATTCCATCATTATCACCACTTTCCATCAGTGTTTTGATTTATGACCAGCATCTGTAGCATAGTACAGACAGTCTCTTGAAATACCTGCAGCCTAAAAGGAGACATTTAATAGCCAGCTTTATTAAGAAAATAAGAGCAATTGTGAGGCACTGGGGAGCAGCATTCCCAAACTGACACCCACCTCTTGCCAGGAGAGATGCAGAGTGCTCCCATTCCTCAGATTATTCCTGCCCACACAACATCCTAACTCAGCCCCAGTGGATGCAAATTACTACTGGAACAATCCTGACACGTTACAGTCCTTCTAGGGTTTGCTGATATCCCATCCTAGCGTTTCTTTTTAGATATTATAAGTACTGAAATACACAGGATGATGCCCATTGGAAACAGTGAATGCAGTAAAAATCCTCTCAGTGACTGAATGTGTTTTCAGTATTATGTTATTTGAATTTATTCTTGCTTTCTCTTTCTACAGTCTTCTATTTCCTTCCTTCTGTTATTTCTGACTGGAACTCTGCAGTTCTCTTTCAAACCTGAACCAATGCTCTGTTGATGGCTCATTGTTTACTGCATTTCTGACTTGCATGTCTTCCTCCTGCAAAATCAATACAGTACTTGAATATAACATAAAAAGTGAGTGCTAACAGTGCTTTATTCTGTAGCTAATAACAGTCCCAGATTATTACTTTTTATGCACAATAAAAAATGAGAAACTTCCAACTATGGTACCCATGGCAAAATAGCAACCTGAAGCTCAGAATTAAACCTTAACAGCCATAATTGCACATTGGGCACCCACTAGCTGACTTAACTACCCATGGCACTGGGTTTTATTTACCCATGGCACTGGGTTTTATTTACCCATGGCACTAGGTTTTATTTACCCATGGTACTGGGTTTTATTTATCCATGGCACTGGGTTTCTACCTACAGCACTGGGTTTTATTTACCCATGGCACTGGGTTTTATTTACCCATGGCACTGGGTTTTGTCTACACAAACTAGGTTTTACTGCAGAAATCACCATTTTTACCAGGCCAGCTACACAAGAGCACAGTAGAAGAATAATCTTAAACCTCAGCATATTCTAAAGGAGGATCCCAGGAAAACTACAGCAAGCAAAACTTTTAAGATCAAACGACTAGGGGAAACAGCACAGTACCCACTGCACATGTGGAATGATAATCATATTATAAAACTATACAACTGTTCATCCCTCAGTGAAAATCTTGTTTGGTTATCATCTCCCATCACTGATGTGAATGCTAGCCAGCCTACATCCCTATTTTTGGGTTTTATTTAAGACTTTGTTTATATTTGTCACATGTACCTCAAATTGATGCTTCAGTACTCAGAACCAGCAGCAAGTCTCAGTGCCATAGTCTCATTTTGCTTGGAGACACATACATTAAATAACAAGCCGTATTTTCTTTATACAGCAGCATAATAAACACTGGATAAAATATTGGTTATTTCTACTGTAAATTTCCCACATGATAATACAGATCTCTTAGATATTAAAGCAAAATACTCATCCCGCCAACTCTAAAGGTTGAAATACCATCTTTTCACTACAAAATATGGCAGAAATAGTCTAGAAGTAGTTAATTCAATGCAGAACAAGTCCTTAGATGCAAGATGATGTTAATAATTACAGAAAAAATTAGATATATTTGCATTTAAACAAGTGCCACATGAAAAACGCTTGACCATCTGGTAGAACTGTCTTAGGGTAGGATGCTGGCAGATATTGCATAATCATCTGCATATGACAGATAATTTTAGCCAAATCTAAATTAAAAAAAAATGTTCTCATCCTTTTTAAGAAAAAAAAATAAACTTCTTTTCAAACTTAATAAATACCTGAAGTTATTTAATATTAATACTGTCTGAATTCCATATCAGAACTACCATGTTATAGACACAAAAAAGAAAAACTGTACTTTTTTTAAACTGTTTTCTGTGTGTTTTGAACTACAGATTGTTCTGCTTCAAATTTCTTCTGGATCTTATTCCTTCAAACATTTTCAAAGCAGTGGCTTAGAAAATATTAGCACAAAAAATATTCTTGTGCTACTCAAGCACTCTGTAGTACAAGGACTATTTGCTCACACAGCTTAATGGTCTGGGACATGCAGGTTTGGAATTCCTCTGGAAAGGTTTTCTGAAACAGAAAAATATCCACAATCGGTAAAGGTTGTCCTTGCAGAGCAGCTGGTGAAGTTTCCCAATTTATACAGAAATCTATGCAGTCATATCTCATTTAATTGTGTTGATTTACAATTCATTATTTATACAGTGCACGAAAAGAGAAGTGCACTACAACAAAATGTTATCAGTTCTGAAGGTCATTCTCTAAATAATACAATGGAACATGTTTCCTAAAGCCAACCACTACAAAAAAGAAGAGGAAAAAGAAAAAAAACTCCCAAAAATTACTTGAAGGTCTAACAAAACAAATATTGTTATTGAAGACAATTGAATCTTACAGTACTTATTCTAAATACAATACAGAATTAAAATTGTCTGAAGGGATTTGATTTTCCTTAAATATATTGGAACAGCTGAGAAGGAATAGAAAACCTGTTAAACAAGTTACCTAAAAAAAAATAAATAGTAAGGAAAAGAGCTGCTCTCGGGGCCTGGATTATCCAGAAGGAGAATTTTGTTGTTTGTGCAGCCAGCCACACTGAGACACCACAGCACCTTCAATTATGGCCAGCCCTGGGGAATTAATGTTTGGATCATCAGGTGGCAGAGAGCATCCTGAGGGCTGCACATGCTGCTCACAGGAGGGAACAACTTCCAGCCTGGAGCAAGTGGCTCCTCCTTTTGTTCTGGGAGGTTCTGTTGATGTCCAGGGTCTCCCCCTGCTCCCCACCCAGCCGGGATCCCCTGGGGTACACCTTGCACTCCTGGCTTTTGCTGTAGGATTTTACATTTACTGCAGCACAGGCAGCTCCCCTTTGGGTAGCTACTCATCCTGAGTAGTGCTTGTAGTCTTTTTAAACAAATGCTGTGTGCATAGAAGCAAATCCATGGCCCAACATATTTTTCTGTATGTCCTAACATGGCTCAGTTTTCAGTTGTTCCACATACTGGTCTAAAGCATTATTGAATCACTAGGGAGCTCAAAGCAACTGGCACTTATCCCACCAAATATAAGCACCTTGATGAGGTAAACTAAGCTTCCAATTTAGTGTCCATGCTAAGTTTCTTTTCACATCCTCTCTTCTATAATTTCAACACACAATTCATTCTCCAGCCTGGTGCTCTGGGTATTTCAAACAAACCACAAGCTCAGCAGCAGTGAGAGCCCCTTAAGGATACTGACTTCTCTGCAGCTCAAGACAGAGCTTTCCTCTGAAGGAAAACACTTCTCTCTATCAGCTTGTGTTTCTGAAGGGAACAGCACCATACACCTATTCTGAGTGCTGTAATGATCCTCTTTTACAGCCCTGCTGCATCCCAAAGGCATCAGCAGGCACTTCTGGCCTAAGAACATCTGAAATAACTGCTGGGGAGTGCCCTGGACTGGATACAACCCTGGAAAAGTGTTTCAAGGGAAACTGTGTTGGCATTTGTCTTCTGTGATGTCTCCAAAACGGCCTGAATGTTCAGTGCACAAAGAAATGCTGCACCAAGCATGAGATCCATGTGTTCTCTGCTTTTCAGGCAGGATGGCTGTGATAAAGCACAGATGTACTTCACCAGTATCCATTAGCTATCAGATCCATCATGAGTTTATTCCCAGCTTTCCCAGATGGATTTCTGATTGTTATGGTCTGCCTAAAAGGTAGAAGGAAAGTGAAGGATCTGATACCAAAGAATCTCTACAGGGAATGAATTGCAAACACCATCGTAAAGCTTTCAGACAAAATGATAATTTTGTAGCAAAGTGAGATATACAATAGGATGAAACATAAATAACAGATGAAACAAATAAGAAGAGAACAGATTCAAGGAGGGAAAGGAATCAGAGAATATTAGAATGGATGTAATTGGAATGTACCAAATGCCAGTGCTGTCCCAGTGCTCCACAGGCTGTGCAGGGAGAGCAGAGGGCTGAAAACCTGGCTCAAACAAAACTGCTGCATTACCATGTAGTATTTTGATAATATATATATAAAATGGCTTAAAATAAAATTTTAAAGTTTTGTGAAAAAATGAGATAAACTTTCAAAAGAGTCAAGGGTCATGTCCCCAGAGGACTGGAATGTAAAATCAGCAGCAGAACTGGCTATTAGTGAAAACAAGTCAGTAAAGAAATTTCAAGTTCAGCATCATGAAAGAGTGCAATGAAACTCAATCAGTGGAAAGGCAAATAACTCCAAGCAACAGCTTTGGTATTGCAGTTTCCCCTTGGATAATTTTACTGCAAAGAACAACTTAATTCCTCCTCATAATGACTACTCATTAGACCAACAGCTATTGCTGCTGTCACCTATGGAAACTTTGCTGTGCCAGACAGAATTCCAAAAGTATTCCTTACAAACAACACAATCACTTCTTCCTTACCATCACAGAATTAGAGGCATTCACCCCTTGGTGAGCTACAAAACTGAGACAACTTTCTGCCACAGTCAATCTCCATCCTCCCCACACTGTTATCCAAGGAGAGGATTGTGCCCCATCCATGGGACCTTCATTCCTCTTTGCCCAGGAAGGAAACAATGAGGTAAATATCATTCATTTCTTCCTCCCCTGGTCCAAAATTCTCTGAGGAAAGTACATTTTTCAGGTACAAACAAGAAAGCAGTTTCACCAGAGGAATCTCAGCTCTGCCACTGGTTCTATTTTGGGGGTTAGGGGTGGTGGTGTTTGTTTGCTTTTTGTTGATGTTTAGAATTTCACTATTATTTACTACCAAAAAAATAAAAAAAAAGAGATAAAAAGAAGTATGCACAGTAAGATACTTTATTAAGAATATATAACATATATAAAATATATAAGATTTAAGATATTAAGCTAAAAGCTGTATTTTCCCCTTTCCTCCACACCTTCATCCAACATAAACACAGCAACTGAGGTATCTGAAACCTTAGCAACAAAAAATACAGAGTTTTAATAGTTTTAGGGGGAGGTTAGAGATTCAGATGACAGCTCTACTTTGTGTTAATTGACCACGGTTCCTTCCTAGCAATGAAACTGCATCACCTCACAACCTGCAGCTTAGCTTAGGCACAACACTGTTCTGAACAGAGACATATAAAATCATGTCCTGACTGGCAATTTAGAAAATGAGAATCAATAAAAGGGAAAATGATGCTGTCATGAATGCATCATTCAGTAATCAGTGAGTGCATCTGAAAAGGTCCTGCCCAAGACCAGTGGGAAGAAAACAAAGCCAGAAGTCTCAGCAGAACACGTTTTTGACCCTGTGTTATCTCCCTCCTCTGGGCATTTTGCAAGCAGTGCTCAGATTTGTGGCAGTGGCTGTTGTTTGTTACGTCAGCCCAGCAGTGCCCAGGTTTCACATGAAGATTGCTGGAGACAATTTTTAATTTATCACGATGAAACCATGCATAAGCTTGTTCTAACAGTGATTCATAGCTTTTTAATTTCTACTCTGCTGATGTCACAAACTAGGGATTTTCAGCACTTTCAAGGTTAGCTCCTGCAGTGTTGGACCTTAAAGCAGTTATTCTGATTTAGCAAAGTAGGTCACTGTCACTTCAGTGCCTTCCTTTGATTCCACCATCTTGTCTTTTATTTAGTGACTGTTCTAGTGGAAGGACTCACCGTGCTTTCAGTGCAGCTTCCTCCACACCAAACTGGCTGCAGTACAATGCACCTGAATTTGTACTTTCTATGAGAACTAAAATTAAAAAAAAAAAAAAAAAATCCATACTTTGTAAGTAAATGCTGTTATTTGTCTGATTCATCTTTATATCAGGTTTGAATGTCAGTTATGTTTGTGGTAAAATTCATCTGTACATTAAGTATTTTTCCTAATAACAAGGTAATAAGCAAAAAGGCTGCATAAATGTTATTTACTACAGCAAAGGCAGAAGGATCAACACCAAGATGTTGGAAAAGGACTTCCTTTGTTCAGTGCACTCAAAGTACTTTTTCTATTATAATTCCAGTATTCCAAACATATTGGTTCTTTCCAAAACACTGCATTGAGTGGTGCACCTCTTCTAAAGCAAAGCTGATTTTAACAGACCATTAACTCTGTCTGTTAAGTCTGTTAAGACTGTTGCTCACAAATGTATCTGCAATTAATTTCATTAGGACATCAGCCCACGGATTGTGATACACCTTAACTATCACCAGTATATCAAATACATGGAAACAGATCTTCTACAAAGCTGGAGTCTCTGTGCTTCCTGCACTTTTGATACGGACAGCAGGAAGATTTATTTCACTTCACCAGTTCCACTGGTTTGGGGAACCACAGGGTTAAAGCCTTCCACGGCCACCTGTGCCCCCAGCAGCTTTTAGGACATTTCCAGATGTCAAACTCACTACTTGTTCAGAACACAAACACTTTATAACCTCCCAGGGCTCCTCTGCTTCTTTTCACCTCTCCCTTTCACCACAGCCCCATTCACTCTGAATATTGTTGATGTAATTGTGATGTGGAACACTACAAACATTCAACACCGCAGGGAGACTGAGCACATCAATGACCTTAACCTTAAATACCTTTCTGGGAAATTTCTATCCACCTGTCTCATTAAAATGAAAGTATTATTCAGGTTATCCTAACCCAATGCATTTCACTTGACACACAGACAATGAGTGGAATTGATGTCATCTTTGCCAGGGCAGGGTGCTTTTCTTTGCCACAGCATTATTTCTGCAAGCTGCTGAGACTCCTGCAAAGGGAAGTGGAACAGGCACACCCTGCCCTGGCAGTGCCTCCCAGTCCTGAGTCAGACAAATCCTGCTGAATCCTCAGCCTTTACCTGAGAGCAGCAATGATGATCTCTGTGGGAAACACATTGCTTTTGTACCCAGGTGTTTTTGAAATGGTGACCCAGCAAGCAACATTGCCAATTTCCCTATTCTACTTGCTAAGGTGTACTATACTGCCATGAAAGTAAAAATATTTCAAACTACACAAAATTATTCAGAACTACATCTTCCCTAAGCAAAGTGACATTTCTACCATTTTTTTTTGCCCATACCATTGCAAAAAAACCCAAAACAAACCACAAACAAACAAAACCCCTAAAAACAGAGTCAGAAATACACAAAAACTGCAAAGGATCAAAAAAAAAATTAATCTAATATTATCTCAGGGGAAACTAATAATCAGATTCACCATTAATTTATCTGAATTGACTCCATAGCATAATGTTCAAATCTGGGGCACAATTGAAACTGGGACAAGTAATCATCATTTAACCTGGATTCTGTAAATTCACCTCAGCCGTTTCATTCAGTGAAATTCACTGTTTCACTTTTTCCTTAACAGCCAATACGACCTCAATGACCTGCCACAAGAAAATATTTTGAAAAGCAGAGTATTTTCTTCTTGGTGGCAAGTAATGCCACTAAGCCTGACAGAGAAGAAAACTGCAGCAAAATCTAGAAAGGGCTTGATGGGCAGAGAAAGGTTGGGATAAAAAAATTAAATAGCACATAAAGGAAGGGTTTGCTATCAATACCTTACTGGAAATAGAAAGTAATATTCAAAATAATCTTGCAATCAACAAAATAGTTTATTGAAAAATATCCTCTGCTATGTGAAAGTAAAAAAGCTACCCCTCCACAGCTGAAAAAATAGATTATGATAATAATGAGACACAATTCTTAGAGAATCACAGACAAAATTCTAGTTCACAGGCACTTAGGGAGAACCTGGCCATGATTTATGGCTCATTATATCACATCAGTACCTCAGAAGACTTTTCAGTGATGTCTAAACTGAAATGTGTGGTCACACAGACATAAGGGACCCCTCTCACAACAAAACTGGCAACCACTTTGCCAGCAGTCATTCAACAAAAATGCTTAACACTGTAGAAACTTCTAATTATCACAAAGTGCCTTGGGAAGTTTAGTCAGCCAATCACCAGTGTAAGGCTTTTACTGCTTCAGAATAAGCTCTTTTCTGTTGTTTACTAGCAAAAAATCCCAAAGTTTTATAGTTCCTGAACAGTGCAGGAAGCAGCTGGATATTTTGCCTAATTTTTGTGAGATAGCCAAGCAGGAAAATGTTAAATCTACCAGCCCCAGTGAGGCAGGGCTGCTGCGAGCTGCTGCTGCCTCCCCTGTCCCCTCCTCCCCTTTCCCCTTGCCCTTTGCAGACACTCCTGTCACCTTGCAGGCACCTTGAATTTGGAGCTCTCTCCTGAAGCTCCCATCAATCATGTAATTAAAGTCTTTTTTCTCCTACTTTAGGACTCTAGCCAGGTTGGAACATATGTTACTTAGGCATTTTACTGAACCATTAATTCGGTGCAGACTTTTGTTTGTCTGATTTTTTTGTCTAGCTATTGCATTTTAACACTTACTGAGCACAGAACTGGACAATTAGAGCCCTTGACAATGAAGTTTTCCCATTATACTTCCCTCATATTAATCAAAGGCAGAGATTTATCAGCTGGTTTAAAGGTCTGGATGTTGGATCGCTGTTCTAATTCATCTCTGCTTTGATTATGCCCTTGCCCATCAGCTCATAATTAATTTTTATAGTGATTACCATCAGCTGTTCTGCACCACGGAGGCAAAAGGGGCAGGAAGGTTCCTAAGGAAAGGCCAAGCACAAGCTGTGCCACACCTTCTGTGACAGAGCACCACACGTGAGTGCTGAGTGGGGATCTTGGGCATCACCCACCAAAAGTCCAAAACACAGCCATGAACACCCAGAGATGGCACAGCCCTGCTGTTTGCAGCAATGCAGAGCTGAGTGCTGATGAATCAAAGCTCAGAGCACACTGAGAGTCAGCCTGGAAATGATGCCAGAGGTAACAGCCGTGGATTTAGGCACAGCCAGGTGTCAGAGGTGTCACACCGACAGGGGAAGGCAGCTCAGAGTACAGACAGGACTACTGAGCAATACATGTGTGCTGAAACCCAGCAAAGGAATCAACATAAAAACCTCTGCTAGGTCATGACCTGAAATCTGCTCTTTATTACACCAAACCAAAGAACAATGATCTGAGAACACCAGCAAGTTCCCACAATCATTTAACAAGCAAGAGAAAAGTGTTGCTTAACACATATCCTCAAACATGACACAGTCATTCAGGTCAAGAAAGGGAAAAATTATTATTATTATTATTATTATTATTATTATTATTATTATTATTATTATTATTATTATTATTATCATTATTATCATTATTATCATTATTATCATTATTATCATTATCATTATCATTATCATTATTATCATCACCATTATTATCATCATTATTATCATCATCATTATTATTATTGTTTTATGTTTTATGTTTTATGTTTTATGTTTTATGTTTTATGTTTTATGTTTTATTTTTATTATTAAAGTCATCTGACTTTTTCAAATGCAATAAAACAATAATTATTTAAATAAATGTGTTATCAAACACACGTACTCTATTTTTTAACTGCTTTTTCTTGACCTCTACACATAACCCGGTACTGTTCATGCATAAAGGGAATTCACTTTTAATTGTGCAGCAGGTGAGCACTACATGACTTTTTCCAATCTGTGCCTTGAAATAAGTTCATGAGCCAACACTGTGGAACAAAGCACCAGAGGAAACCAATTCTTTACAATTCTCAGGTCTATAAGTTCACCTTGTGTTTACATAGCCTTTTTTCCTAAAATTACCACTTTAAAAGCTCAGTATCAGAGTGAAAAAATAAGGGAAAGCTGCTACATTTACAATAAGGAAGTCACACATATAATGCTGCTTTATGGTTTGTAAAACCAAACCAAACAAACGAGCCTGAGTGACTTTACCAAAGGGTGCTGAAGACAAGGACAAAAAGGCTCGCTGGGAATCCAGTTCACACTGGCAGGAAATCAATACTTCAGGCATTGACAAGACATAAACACAATGGAAAACATTCTGACAAAGACAGGGAGCTATAAAGAATCCATGTTTTATACCTAAACCTCAAAGCACCTTAAGGTTTTCTCCACAGTAACTCAATACAACCTCCCCTTTTTTTCTCACTTTCTGACCTGAACTTTAGAAGCAGCAGCATTAAATGCAGGAATAAAAGGCAGGATTTGTGGAAGTGAAGTTCCAGCTTTGAGATGAGGATGAATTTCAGGTTTGCCCTAACACTGTGGTGCAGTCAGATGTCAGAGCTGTGCCCACCTTCACCCCTCCTTCTCCCCCTCTCCAGGAGCATTAAAAGAACTCAACAAGGATGGAGAGAGTCCCAGCCCAGCCCCCTGAAGATGCTGTCCCAGGGCCACCTGCCCAGGAGATCTCACCTGCTGCTCAGACTTGTCATCCTCGCTGGATTCTCCACATGGCATTAAAAAGTGCCAGGATCCATCCATCAATGGGGGGCACTTGGGGCTTTATCCTGTTAAAATGTTAATGTGATAGTTTTTTCTCACCTTCTGTTTGCTGCTGCAAGAATAAACTGTACTCTGAGGTGGCCTGCAAGGGCTCTTGCTTAAGTTCATCAGGTGGCCACAACTCAACTGCAATGGTACATTGAAATAATTTTTCACACTTATAATAAAATATCCCATGAACTCCATATTTTACTTGATGGCAAATACTGCTGGAAACAGCCTGCCATGTTCCAGCAGGATTTGATGAGAAACAGAAACTGAGTTTTCTAATTTATATATATATATATGTGTGTGTGTGGATATAACAATTTCAGTTTCTAAGCATCAACAACTATACACATCTCTCTGAAGAGATTAAGCATCCATTCTGTGATGCATCATAAACTGGCCAAAAAAAAAGAACCAAAAAGAGATTTTTCATGAACATGTACACTGAAGTCTCTTTTTGTCCCAAATATGGGCAGTTTTGAGGTATATACAGTTTTATGTCTGTGTGTTCATGCTGCTTCTTTCCTTTATTCTAGAACAGGATATCAGAAAGGACCAGTAAAGAACCTGTTTTCTGAAAAAAATGTGACTGCATTAATTTCTTTCCCTTATGAGCAGATATGTCTGAAAATTATGAACCTGTCAAATCATGAGCATTTCTAAA